CACACTAATATTATAAAGGCGAAAGTTTGCGAGTGTGTATGTTTGTTACTTCTTCACGTCTAAACGGCTGGAGCGATTTTAATAAAATTTGGTATGAGTTAGCTGACATTCTGGTTTAACACATAGGCTACGTTTTACTGCGGGAAACCTATCTTTATCTCTAATAAACCGAGGGTAACACCGCTGAGCACAGCTAATTAAGTTATATATCTATGCAGTGCCGTCTTGGAGGGCCTGGGCATATTATGATAATGGGGCCCCTATGACTTCCATTTGGTGATTTAACAGGAACTAGGGACTTTGTATTAGATCTGAAGGGGTCCCCTATCGATCGCGGGGCCCTGAAAACTTGCCCAAAGTGCCCAATGGGAAAGACGGGCCTGTATCTATGCCAAGGGCGGATCCAGCTTTGGCGGCAGGGGAGGGTCATATAGTCGTGGTATATTAAATATTGCAAGTACTTAAATAAAATCCCCCTGGGTTTGGTCCATCTGTACCCAGCCCAGGGGGGGTCATGACCCCCATGACCCCCCCCCCCCCTGGATCCGCTATGCCTATTACCAGTAAATTACAGCCGTTGCGCCTATTAAATGTGAATAGCAAATTTAACGTTCTGTGGATTTTCCACTTTAATATAGCAGGCGCTGAAAGCCCCTAAGACACGAGTGCTTCATGGAATTTATTGAATTTAAGGGAGCACATCGGGGGTAGTTTTCACCACCTTCCAGAAGACGTAATAAAATAACACTACCTTTTGATGGTGTTGTGTTTCTGTCGGTGAGTAAGGCTCCAGGTTTCCACGGGGTAGGGGATCAGGTCAGGATAGCAAATCCTCAGATATCTATTGCAATGTTATGATGCACCTCTGATACTGAATCTCTTATCTATTAGACAAGTCCGTCCGTCCGTCCGTCTGTCTGTGGTGCTGTTTCAGCGGCCAAACCGTAAGAGATAGATAAAGAGAATGTTTAAGTTATAAGTTAAGAATAGTCTGATAAGACTACAAACCGGATTTGAGTAACGTAGCACTTCCGGTTTTCGAGAAATCACGAATTTCAAACGAAACCACACAAAATCTCCGAAGTTCTCAATTAATTAAATACATTTTTTTTTAAATCAGGTTTTGGTGAACATTTGGTTCACTGGTTTGCTAGATTACTATAGTTGTTATTACTGCTGTCGGGTTTGCAGGTGGCGCATGCGATTGGTCGTGTGAAGTACCAGCATTACAAGCCCTTTATTTTTTATAACGCAGGTAAAAAATCTTTTTACAGACGACGGCGCCTTTAAGAGGCACACCGCCGAACGGACCTCACACCTGGCTCCCGCAAGTCTGACGGATCTTTCAGTTGCCTTACGGGCGCTTTACAGCATAATATACGTTAAAAAAGTCCTGCGAATACCTTCTACACTGCTTAATGCGAAGCCGCGGGGTCCCCGTTTAGGGATTCTACCACGACTCCGCACCCAGCAGCTTCCCACTCTCTACGGCAGGGGTCTCCCGAGGTATTGCGGGGACCCCGCAGACGTGAGCATTACGTTTGGTGACATGTTGCACAAGGGCGGATCCAGCTTTAGCTCCAGGGGGGGTCATATACCCAGCTTTGGCCCAGGGGGGGGGGGGGGGGGTTCATATAGTCGTGGTATATTAAATATTGAAAGTACTTAAATAAAATCCCCCTGGGTTTGGTCCATCTGTACCCAGCCCGGGGGGGGTCATGACCCCCATGACCCCCCCCCCCCCCCTGGATCCGCGCTTGGTGTTGCAACAGCTTTATGCTGAGGCAGGGTCCTGATTGACCATTCAGGATAATAATGAAATCGTTTTTTTTTCTCTTTAAATTATGTTAAAAAAAATGTTTTGTAATTTGGCCAATAAAATGTTTCTCTCTCTGTCTCTTATAATATTATATTAAGCGATTGATTGGTGCAACGAAAGTCCTTCTGTCATGTGTGATGTGCTCTTAAAGTCGTGGGTTCGAATCCCGGGAATGACATATTTATTTATTTGTGTGTTAAGCACAAATATATATGCCTGAGACTTTTTTATTTGTATTCTTAGGGGAAAACCGGGAAAACTTGCCCAGGTTGGAGGGTGGAACTATCTTCAAAATTGTATTTAAAATTGAACGGAAACAACGTCGATTCATTATTTGTTTACGTTATGTTACGTTTTCGTCTCTTAAAGACGCCATTCACAACAAAACAGGCTCACGTGTGTCCAATGAACAAATTCTTTTTTCACACCAATTAGCCTATTCCCAAAGAAAGCACTATAAGGCTTGTGTTATGGGATACTAGGGTAACGGATAGAATACAAATACTGTACATTTATAAGTATATTTATATAGAAATACATATTAAACATCCATGACTGGAGTACAAATGCATGTATTCACACAAACATCTGCCCCCACCGGGATTCGAATCCGGGACCTCCATGAAACCCGGCGTACAAACCACTCGGCCACGGAGGTCGTCAAAATTAACGATGGTTCAACTCTCCCACCTGGGTAAGTTTTACCCTGTATACGTGATTTGGATACTGTAACGCCCGTAGCGTTACGGCCTCCTTGCTTGTATAAAGTCTTAGCTTAAGTAATTCCTACGGCTGGCAGTTGTATTAAAAAGTAAATGTCATTATTTTCAAGATTTGAATATGAGAACCTTCTGTCTCATACCGAATATTCTGGGAGATAGAATTCAGACACAGACTCTAGGTTGTTGATAGGAATATTATTGTACATAATTTCTCTGAGTTCAAATAAAAAAGTAAAATATCTCGAGTTATTGTAAGCTGCTAAGGGCTTTCCTTCAGGTTAAGCCCTACATCTAGCTCGATGGCGCAGAGAAGCTCGATGGCGCAGGTGGTTAGCGCGTTCGGCTGCGATTGTTGTAGTTAAGCAACTATCGCGGTGGTCGGTCATTGGATGGGTGACCAAAAATTTCTATCTCGAGTTCCTCCGTGCTTCGGAAGGCACGTTAAGCCGTTGGTCCCGGTTGCATCTGCAGTCGTTAGCACCCGCCAATCCGCACTGAACCCGCGTGGTGGGTCATGGTCATGGCCCAATCTCCCTATTCCATCCATAGGGACGGCCTGTGCCCCAGCAGTGGGGACATTAAGAGGCTGATGATGATGATGATGATGAAGCCCTACATGGCTTGTATGTCACATAACTGCGCAGGTTTCCACGCCTGTACAGGCAACTCGAAAACATATGAATTTTGATATTTTCTACCTGTGCAGTTTAACTGTGCAGGTAAAATTGAGCGTGTGTGGCGGTCGTTAGTTGTCATTCTGTAATACAGTTTAATTGTACAGGTAAACCTGTCAGGTAAACCCTAGCGTGTATGGCTTGCTTAAGTGTTGATCATTACTTGAGTACAATTAGAAAGGGATGTCGCTATGTGCTATATATAGCGACATCCCTTTCAACTATGCTCAAGACTAGATCAATCACTGAGATTCTTTCTATATTATGGGCCTTAGTCTTCATAGCACAAGGTCTACTTAGACTAATACTAAAATAATTCTACTGTTGTATTTTCAAGCCGTCTCGATTATTTGGTTATGTCAAAATGAAATACAGAAATAGTTTCGCAACATTTTAATTCAAACTTAAATTCGACATTTTAAGTACAATTAAGAATCTGTATTAATTAACATTAATTAACGCGAAATTTATGGCAATTATTAATTTGTAACAATTTTCACTTCCATCTAAAACATTAAATTAATTATTTTACAATCTTACTATAATACTGATTTTATTTACAGAAAGTGCACTAACTAAACGACTAAGTATATAATACAGTTATTATACATATAAAATATAATATTTATATTTGGGAAATGCAAGGCACCAATTGTAGCACCAACAGTATATCGGGATTTATATTTTACATTTAAAAATTAATTTAAATTTATATGACGTCACTGGTTTGTATAAGGATTTTTTTTTATATATAAATCAACTCTCAACTTTTTTAATTAACTCTTATCAATAATTTCATAATAAATTATATAAAAAAATGTAATACGCATAAATAGGTAATATTATCTTGTATAGTTCTTCATTCAGTGAATTTATTTATACTAAAAGTATACTGTGTAAGTTTGGATTATTTACTCTATGTTTTGTCTCTGTCCATTAAATGACAAATGGCATTTAAGTGATATGAATAAAACACGGCATAACTAGTCCAAGCTTATTCCTCGTTCACTAACAAGGTGGTATAAAGAAAATATAACTAGAAAAAATTCCACGCGGTCCAGGCAGCAGACGGGACTCGAACCCGCAACCTTCGCAATCCGGGCGAATGCACTGACCAATTATGCTACCGCAGCCCTCACGGACCGCGTTGAAATTCTTCTAGCCATTCTTAAGCTGCAAGACAGCGCCATCTCTTCGCATTATAGGTAACCTACAATGTCAAATGAGTACTTTTACAAGTATTAAACATTTGAAGAAATAGCAATTATAGTTATAATTTTTATTTTTTTTAAAGCATGTAACTGCGTGATTTTATAATTTCTCTAGTTATATTTTCTTTAGATTTAAACATCAAGCAGTTACATACTTTAAAAAAAATAAAAATTATAAGTTGGTATAAGTTGTGATAACGCTTAGCCTTATGTACACATAAAACAACAAAAAAAAAGTTTTAAAATCAGACTAATATTATCTTGTTTATCAGATATACCTACCTAAACTCAAATAACTGAGCCGAACTGTAATTTAGACTTTTGCTCTTTTGGGCTTTTTACTATTTTCCATCAATATTTTGCTGAAGTGATGCAACCGTCTCATATTTAATTAGAATTTTATATCAATTAAAAAAAATAAAAATATCTTTTTTTTTTTTAGTAAATCAGATCAGCAATTTTCCCATCTAAAACTAGATTTGAATTGTAAAGAATCTGTTCTGATGCTAATAAAATATGAGTTGGAAAAGTTCTTTGAGAAAAAGTCTAAAACATAAGGAACTTTTATTAACTACCTCCGCCTCCTACATACTTATTTAACGAAACATTCTTAAACATTTTAGATGCCTTTGTCGCTTCAATTGTTATTCGTACTTTAAAACTAACAATGCTCATATTACGTGGCAGTAAGTATCCGTAATGAAGAATACGATATATCCCTAAAATAATGGTATTTAATTGCTCTTCTGAATATTGTTTAAGAATGTTTCATTAAATTTTGAAACTGCCCAGATTTTCTATAAACTGTGTTAGTAGCAATGGCTCCATCGTGGAGTGTATTGAAATTATTACGTTTGCATCTGTAGCAAGCCATAATCAAATTGACTATTATACAATTACCCAACGGGACATTTCTTACAGGCATCACATTTTGAAATGTTGATCCATAAATAAAGAATCTACGTCTACATTATCCATTTAGGCGATTTTATCTAATTTGTCAATAGATAACATATTTTATATAAAAAAAATATTGGAAGACATCAATATTCCTGGCACTTTAACATATGGAAAATTTCAATCCACCTAAATTTCGAAAAAACAATTCTTTACAACAAAGTACATACTACTTTACAATACAATTTACAATAAATCATATCAAAACTACCTACTTCGCTAAGATTTGTTTTGTGTGATAGTTGCCAATTTTAACAATCGGCTCAAAAAAGGCACTTTACATCACTACTTGTGTATCTATAATACTGGACGCATACCATACTCCAAGCTGCCTCAGAAAAAAACCATTAAAAAAGTCTATAAAATACTATCGGTTAATGCAGAGTGACTCGACATACTTGGGGTCCATTTCATCAATCTCACGTCCTTTTGTTTCCGGCACAAAAAGCACAACAAACAGTAGACATAGCACCGCAATACCAGCGTACATCCAGAAAAGACCATATAGACCTATATGGTCCTGGAAATCTGCTGCGGTTTTCACGTTAACAAAACCACAAAGATGACTAAAGCTAGTTGCCAAAGCACTACCCAAGCTTCGGTACTCCAGAGGAAACAGCTCTCCAATCAGAAGTGCTGAAATGGGGCTGATGCCTAAAGAAAATGCTATCGTGAATGTAAGAACACACACTAAAGGAATCCAATCATATGCTCCGGCGTCATGAGCCGCACTCGCCGAATTCCTAATAACATCTTCGTAGTAAGCGTAAGATCCGAAGCCAGCTAACGCTATAGACATCATCACCCCGCTGGTCATCAGAAGAGGCAGTCTACCTACGTTGTCTATCAGCATGCCAGACAAGCAGGACGCTAAAAGTTGCACAACGCTTGTAGCGATCGCTCCTCCGTGTGGGTTCATCATTCTAAATGTCTTCTTGAACATCGACACAGCGTAGAAGTTAAAAACGTGGGCACCAGTGAATCTTTGGAAAAACATTAACCCGCACGTAATCAGAACAGGTCTTGTCAGTCTTTTTGATAGGAGAACTTGCAGTTTACAATTCCGTCCATCATTGTACTGCTTGCTGGCCAGAATGTTCGTGCGAATGGTTGCTAATTCCTGTCTTATATCCGCATCGGGACCTCGTAACCATTGTAAAGACTTTTCTGCTTCCTGCTCTCTCCCTCTGAGGAGTAAGGAGGATGGAGTTTCGGGGACGAATAATAGAGCGAAGAATAGCATGACAGGCGCCACTGCGACGACCAGGGCTAATTGGTACCAGTTGAGGTAAGCTCCGAGGGAAAAAGCTATGAGGATCCCAATCTGGCTGAGGATCTTGAGCACTGAACTGAGACAGCCCCGGATTTCTGGTACTGCAATTTCGGTGACGTATACCTGGAGACAAAAAAATAACCAGAATTAGAACTGATGAAGTAACGAATCTATAATTCTAGTAAGGTATTTTAAAGATGCTTATAAAACTTAACAATTTTTTCTCGTAGAATTCATTGCTATTGTGTTTTTTTTAACTTTACAGTTATTGTAATCTTTTAAATATCCGGTTAAATGTTGTATCTGCATCAAGACGTATTATTTATTGTACGTCAATCAAAAGAACGTCGGAATCTAATTAAAATGGGGAAAAGGCAATTTAGGCAGCTGCCTAAGTTGATTTATTTCTCTACATTACAATCTTTAAGGTTTAAAATAAATTCTTGTACGTTACAACAATAACATTTATAGTTAGTTGGAATGTTACGGAACCATAATAAAACTAGTGGATGGGTGTAACTTCGTCTGCGTGGTAATATTGGTTTCCCATACAAACTTTGAACCCCGTTTAACCCCTAGGGGGTGAGTTTTGTAAAATCCTTACTTAAAATAGCTACATCATAATAGGTATATGTGTGTCGAATTTCACCTCAATCCGATCAGTGGTTTGAGCTGTGCTTTGATAGATTAGTCACTAGCGATTGCCTTTACATATTTATTTATTTATTTTTAGGGAAATAACAGCATTAATTTTTACATAAAAAATATAACATTTAGTTTAAACAATTGCCTAGGTAATTTCCACTATTATTTATCTCACATAGTGTAATAAACATGAGAGAAAAAAGAAACAATTTTTGACATCATAATGAACATAAACAAAATAAAAAGAAATAAAAATGTTGTGCCTAAAACGAGTTACAAATTAGTTTTTTGAATTTCAAAGAATTAAGATTAAATATATCAATGTGACTATATTTAGAGTAGGGATGATGACTAATTTTTTTTCTTCGTTCATCAGGTAGATTATCAAAAAGTATTGGACACGTATTTTTTCTTTTTTCACATAATATAAACATTGCAGAGATATATTGATTTGAAAAGTCGCACGACGTCACGTTTGAGTACACTTATAAGTGAAAATTCACTCAAAAGTGACGACACGAACCCCTACTCCCAAACTTTGACGCGCCATAACTTTGTCATTTTTTGGTTGATTGCCCAAAGAAAAAATACGTGTCTATTATTTTTTGATCATCTTACTGACGGACTAAATATTTCGTTTACTGTACCCCGTCATCACCCCTGTTGTATGATTTCATAGCTCGCACAATGTAGCGATTACTTTCATATACAGATAAAGAACGAAATAAAGGATTTTTTTATGATTCGTGTGATAAATCTCACACTGGGAGATATAATATTGGTTTACAGGTAGTATTATGGAAATCAGAGACAACTATAAATACTGGAATTACCTATAAATACTTAATTTTCTATAATACCGACGTAGGAAAATGTAACCCCACAGGACCTTAATAGATTGCGGTCGCAAAATCCGGTATACTGACCCCAAAGCTGCAGAGGTCGCCGAATGTTGCTATTAGCAATATGTCCCGTACCTGTTAAACCGTAAACCAGCTGTGTACTAGTGTTGCCGATCGATAGTCGACTATCGATGATTAATCAATAGTCTATCGATAGCCAACCAATCGTATGACAATCGATCGGCTTATCGATAGCACAGAAAAAGCCAATACTATCGGATGAGTTAAATACTATCGATAGTATTGTAGTTCGTTAATAACAAACTATCGATACTGTCGATTTTATTTGCAACCATACTATCGATAGTTTAACAATATTATAGTCAATCACAACTTTTGTCTAAAACAATCGCTAGTATCGATACTATCGATAGTATTGTTGCAGATAAAATCAACACTATCGATAGTATCGATACTATCAATAGTTTGTTATTAACAAACTACAATAGTATCTATAGTATTGCACTCATTCGATAGTATTGCCTTGTTCTGAGCTATCGATAGTATCGATACTATCGGTTGTATCGATTATATCGATAGGCCTATCGATAGGGTACATGATTTTCGATGTAAACTATCGATAGTTTTAATATCGATAGTTCGGCAACACTACTGTGCACGCACTCGTATGTACACTATACAACGTAGAACATACGTTTCTCCAATTATGTGCACCATTGAAAGGGCACACGACGTATGCACTTTTCCCATTCATACAATTCCTCTCGATGATTATTATGCATTGCAGTGCAGTAGGTAGAGTTACCTGAAAACTTTTGAAGATTTTCGTATGATGCATGTGTCGTGGATTGTTGAACGGAACGTCAAGCCGGAACCGACTTGGGTCATCATCATCAGCCTATTAATGTCCCCACTGCTGGGGCACAGGCCTTCCCTATGGATGGAAAAGGGAGATTGGGCCATGACCCAGGAGGGCCTAGTGCCGATTGGTGAGTGCTAACGTGCCTAACGAAGCACGGAGCAGCACGAGATAAAAAATTTTGGTCACCCATCCAATAACCGACCACGGTGAAAGTTGCTTAACTTCAACGATCGCAGCCGAACGCGCAAACCCCTTGTGCCATCGTGCTTCTCGTAGGTACTAAAACTTCTAAATGAAATTTATTATAGCTACCTTAAAAGAACACAATTTTAAAGTTCATACAAAAAATGTCACACTAAATTAGTGTTGGGTAGGACACTACTTGAAAAAGAGTTTGTAAGAGTAGCCTCTTTTTTGTACTGAGCCAGTACAAAGTCCCACTTCAAATGAGGCGAGGCGTACTGAAGCTTGGCAATACATTTGAAGTGACGAGTACAAATATGACATTGAGGCGTACAGAAGCTCGACATTACGTTTGTGTGCACGAGTAGCACCTCCTCTACGCACTATCAATCTTGCTGGATCCAGCATGCAGGACAGCGCTATACACGTAAAAGAGATAGAGATACAGATGGATAGTGCGTAGAGGACTTAAATAAAATGTTATGTCTCGCTCTCTCTCTCAGACTTGAGTGAGAGAGAGACTTCAGTGAGTAACGAGACGCGACTATCGCGACATTTAATGTGAAGTAGTACATTTTAAAATTTTGAGTCCCTCTTACATTTTGACGTCATGTCCGGGACAAATGTACCGCCTCTTGTAAGTCCTACTCAACACTACACTAAATATCTGATTGAAGTAAGTTATGTTGAAATATTCAAACTACGCCATTCAGACAAAAGAATAGTTTGGAAACAATTCAAGCATTAAAATAGCGTTTAGAATTTGTCGGATATTTGTGGCAACACTTCATTATGTTATTGGCAGGCGTGATGATACGCCGGGCCTTTGAAATAGGTGAATAAGTTAAAATTGAAAATGTACAACACCACAATAGATCTAAACACATAATACAGCAGTATACTAAGTTCTGTTATAGAAATTACTTTTCATTTTCATCACAGCCTAAACTTTTTGATGACTTCTTTTCTGTAGTGGATACTATTAGTGAATCCAACTTTTCCGAGCTATAGTTTTTTAACTAGATGAAAGGCAAACATGTATTATCTTAAACAGTCATACTTTTAAGAATGTAAGAATAAACCGATATTTAAAATATAAATATGTAATATATATATCACACTAATATTATAAAGGCGAAAGTTTGTGAGTGTGTGAGTGTGTATATTTGTTAATTCTTCACGTCTAAACGGCTAGAGCGATTTTAATAAAATTTGGTATGGAATTAGCTGAACACATAGACTATGTTTTAGAACGGGAAAATATACCTAATAAACTGCGAGTAACACCGCGGGGAACAGCTAGTTCTACATATGTTTAAATAATGGACGTTGTATACCCTTTGTTGCAAAGAAATGGTACGATTAATTTTTAAAGTAAGCAAACGGCAATAACTTGGTAGGTATACTGTGTTTAATTTTGTTGTGTATGTTTTCATATCATACTAAGATCCATAGATAATCGAATTTGAAGCATAATTAGTATTGTCAGAAACATCGGCCATGTTATTGCGGCGTGATGTTGTTAACTACTAGTTAGTTATATGGTGATTAACTGTACTTTATAGCTATTAACAGGATTGTTACCATGTACCTACCTTGTTTTTTATGAGTCTCCGATATTTCGGCACTGTTGCAAGCGCCATGATCACGGAGTAACTGAAGTAATTGCGGGTAGATGTTATTGGCAGACATATCGGTCTACCGTCTGACGTCGTCCTTTACTGCGCTCACACTCCAGACATTTGACACTTGACAATTGTCAAATGTCAAATGTCTGGAATCCATTGGTTCGTATGTGTAAAAAATCGCAAAAATCTAAAAAGTGTCGTTCCGCGATCTGATGCTGTGAGTATTGTGTGGAGGGAACAAGTGCAAGTGAATAGTGAGAATGTGACCAGTGGTAGGGGTATCGAGATACAAGTTACATGGTAACAATCCCGTTAATAGCTATAATTTTAGTGACCATGAAAGTTTAAAACAATATAACTGTACTTTATTTTTTCGAGTCCCTGATATTTCGGCATATTTGCAAGAAGCGCTATACCGCATAAGGTGTATGTTAGCAATGTATTTCATAACTATAATGTTAGTAAACTGTACCGCGGTGCTCGATGGCGCAGGTGGTTAGAGCGTTCGGCTCCGATCGTTGAAGTTAAGCAACGGCAGTGGTCGGTCATTGGATGGGTGACCAAAAATCTTCTAACTCGAGCTCCTCCGTGCTTTGGAAGGCACGTTAAGTCGTTGGTCCCGACTGCATCTGCAGTCGTTAGCACCCGATAATCCGCACTGGGCCCGCGTGGTGGGTCATGGCCCAATCTTCCTATTCCATCCATAGGGAAGTTCTGTGCCCCAGCAGTGGGGACATTTATAGGCTGATGATGAAGTCACTATGAAAGTTGAGGACATTATACGAGATAGCTTCTCCACACCTAACAATATTTTATATATATTTTTTTTAAAAGTTGCCTCTCTAACCCAATCCCTTACCCCGTGGAGTCCTTAAACCTTACTCACGGACACAAACCCACCAGAAAGAAGCGATATTTCACTATTGTCTTCTGTAAGATGGAGGTTATTTCCCCAGAAGGGCACTCGAGTTCGTGCGGGAATTCCGCTATGCCTTACCTCTCTTGAACTTTTAAGAAACACCTCACTTGCGTTTCTATCGTCATCAAACACAGCAGCAGACCACCGCAGAACGAAATTTATATGATGTCCACACCAGTCGACAAAGCCCCGACCAGCCACACCAGTGAGTACGGCAGCGCTGCGGCGATCAACACCGTTCTCCTGCCCAGTCTCATAGCCATGCCATCGAGGATACTACTGACTATTGGACGAAATATCACACCTGCGTTTTCATCGTCATCGAGCACAGCAGTAGACCGCCGCAGAAGGAAGTAGCAGCCAGCATGTCCACTCCAGTTGACAGAGCTGTGACCAGCCACACCAGTGAGTACGGCAGCGCTGCGGCGATCAACACCGTTCTCCTGCCCAGTCTCATAGCCATGCCGCCGAGGATACTACTGACTTGTGGACGAAGTATCTTACCTGCGTTATCATTACCATCGAGCATAGCAGCAGACCGCTGCAGAATAACATGGCAGTTAACATGTCCACTCCAGTCGACTGATCCGTGACCAGCCACACCAGCGATTACGGCAACGCTGTGCTTATCAGCCTCATGCATGACCAGTGCACGAAATATCTCACCTGCGTTATCATCGTCATCGAGCACAGCAGTAGACCGCCGCAGAAGGAAGTTGCAGCCAGCATGTCCACTCCAGTCGACAGAGCTGTGACCAGCCACACCAATGAGTACGGCAACGCTGCGGCGATCAACACCGTCCTTCTGCCCAGCCTCATGGCCATGCCGCCGAGGATACCGCCGACTAGAGCACCTGAGGACAAGAAGGTTTGAATGTTAAATAAAACAAAACTTAATAGCCATACTTATGCCCTGAGGATAAATAGGTTGGGCTATTTAATAAAACATCATGATATGATTATGACGATAATTGATATATAATTTGACTACTTTTATTTTTTAATTTGATTTTTAATGTTGAAATTTGCTTGGATTTGATTTGATTTCATTGGAATTAACTTACAACATTTTTGCGCCGAAAAGTTTATGTAAGTATATCATGTTAAACTCATGTTTGTAGCAACACCCCAACGGGCCGTGTACCACTCACTATAGAAATACAAAGTAAGGATGGAGGGATAAGGGAGAATAACTCCTCAGAACACTCGCCGTGCCTTGATGATGCCACATCGCGGCGTAATTGTAGACTCGAGTTTATTAGTTACCTCTTCATCGCCAATGATGCGGGCCCAATTACCCAAAGGTTTAAATTGATAAAAGTTAGTTTTGTACAGAAAGATAGATATTTTTTTACTTAGCAAAGAACAGTCAGTTAAGCCTTATATGTTTAATATAAAGCACTCACGCGTTCTTAAGTATAATATGTCAATTTAATTTAATGATTCGTTAGATCACGTCATGATTCTCAAGAATGTAACAATATCAGTACCCCTAGCACGAACCAATATCGAATTCGAATAGTTTGCGAGTCCGAAATGCCATTGTCAAATTTTGTATGTTATCTTGGCTACAACTGATGTAACGAGAACTAAAAATCAGTACATATTTGATAATGATATTTTGCACTCGCAAACTATTCGAATTCGATATTGGTTCGTGCTAAGGCTATTGGAGGCTGTAGGTTTTCGTTCATTACACAAAAAAAAATATTTGAACTAAGTTAGTGTTAGCATTTTCAATCCTCCGATAAATAAACTCACAATCCAGGAATTCTTGAATTATAATAGCTAATATATAAATAATAGTAATTTTGGTGGATGACATTTTGAGTGACATCATCATCATCATCATCATCAGCCTGTTAATGTCCCCACTGTGGGGCACAGGCCTTCCCCATGGATGGAATAGGGAGATAGGGCCATGACCCACCACGCGGGCCCAGTGCGGATTGGTGGGTGCTAACGACTGCAGATGCAGCCGTATATAAGCACGAGTGACATATACTGATTTAATTATATTTTTGATTCACATTTTAATATGACCTGATTTTAATCGAATTTTTATATTTTTGACTATTTATTTTGTGACCTGTTAAGTAATTTTTATTCAATTATGTATTTTTTTATTTATTTATTTTCACTAAAAGTACAGGTATACAAAAAACAACTTATTTCGCCAAACTGTGACATAGTATTAATTAATTTTATAAAAAACTTAGGTAAATTTGCATGCTACGGTCTATAGCTGAATAGGTGAAACCTACAGTATAGTTATGTGTAACTATTTATGACCTTGATTACCCTGTTCAAACGCAAATAAATAATTATTCTATTCTATTCTAATATGGCTATTCTATTGTTCTATTCTATAAATACGGCTGCAGTGTATCCTGAACTTTCTTTTAGTATTTGCCACTGTTTATATCGGTGTACCGGCTGTCGAGAAGCGGTCTATTTTAATGAATTCACAAATCTTATATCGCGAGTATCAGACACCGCAGACGAATCTAAATCTGTTTGTGACATTTAAAAATCTGATAATTATAACCAAGAGTACGCAAAATGCAGACGGGGACGACGCGGACCAGGCAGCAGACGGGGCTCGCACCCGCACCCTTCGCAATCCGGGCGAATGCACTGACCAATTATGCTACCGCGGCCCTGACGGCCGCGTCGAAATTCTTCTAGCCATTCTTTAGCTGCAAGGCCGCTGCCTTGCCAATGCGAAGAAATGGCGCTGCCTTGCAGCTAAAGAATGGCTAGAGGAATTTCGACGCGGCCGTCAGCATAATTGGTCAGTGCATTCGCCCGAATTGCAAATGGTGTGGGTTCGAGTCCCGTCTGCTGCCTGGTCCGCGTGGAGTTTTTTCTAGTTATATTTTCTTTAAAATAATAAGTGTAAAGTGTAGCGTGTAGCGAGTGAAACCTCTCATGATGAGTGCCACTAAATCTGCTCCAAACCTAGATCTGGTATTCGTTGCGTCTTAAATTGCCGCAGCTTAAAATAATTCGCTTCCTGGCAATCTATGCAGAAGCAGAAATTGTTTCGTATCGCGCAACGAATTTAATAACAATTTATAACGCGCTGTCGCTTGTAACGGACAGTTTAGCTTAACCGCTGGATAGTACAACTAATAATAACCATCAATCGCTCCTGTCCTTACTGAGAGATGATAAAATGCTTCTGCATTCGGTGCACTTTGTGCTGTTATGATAAGATTTACTTTAGAACAATAAGCTTTGTTATTCCTACCGCCAGTGTTTGTGCGCGAAAAGATTTATGGCGAAGAATGAATAAATAAACCGACTCACGAGTAGGTATCATTGATGCACAATTGTACACCAATCTAATAGTTAGGTATTTATTTGTTTCTTAGATTTTCACGCACATCACTCATTAAATTAAACAAAATTCAACGGGTAAGATGCACTGATTTTATTTATTTATTGACCTGAAGTCTTTCGAAGGTAGCTCGACAAACTATGTATAAAAAATCATTATAGGGTATTTGACAAGTTTTAGAAAGCGATCTCACGTTATTGACTAATGTTTTTGGAGTCCGTAAAAAGTGGATATTCATCATTCTGTTGTGTATTTCAGTAAAAATAACCAAATCAAAAACACCATTTTCAAGTTGCCGCGAAAACGTTTCTCTGGACAATATGGCGTCTTACTAGTGTGTGACGTCACACGATTGTTACTAAAACATCAAACGATACAATGTAATGTCACTTTGTCCGGAAGTTTACTTGCGTGTGACGTCATTTTAGGCTCCGCCAATCCCAAGCGTTTTGGGTCACGTGACAATAGGTAAGAAAACTATTATCTTTTTTCGTGGGTTTTTAGTAAAATTATGAATATTTTTTTTGTAAAAATAGTAAAATCCTCTGCCAATATTCATTCTAAACACAGATGCTAACAATTGACACTTTATTTTTAATACTGTCAAATACCCTATTCTGAAAAGGCTGCGAAACGTCAATAAATATATAAAATCAGCGCATCTAATCCGTTGTAACTTGTTTTATTTATGATTTTTTTTTACTGCTAGATGTTTAAATCTAAAGAAAAGTTTACTAGAAAAAAAATCCACGCGGACCAGGCAGCGGACGGGACTCGAACCCGCATCCTTCGCAATCCGGGCGAATGCACTGACCATTATGCTACCACGGCCCTTAAGCTGCAAGGCAGGGCCATCTCTTCGCATTGTAGGTAACCCACAATTTATTGTTTTATTTAGTTAGTTATTTATTATTCATCAACTAGAAGTTACATTTCAATTCTGAAGCAATACGTTTATTGCTGATACAAGATAGCTGTAATTTTAGCCGTCTATCAATCAATTTCTCAGATCAATTAATGATTTTCGTGCTGTCCGCCCTATTCGTGGTTAGATAATTATTTCTTAATGTACCGCCTACTCTACTTGTTTCATGAAACAGTTTCGAATAGCTCTACACTTATGTCATTTAAATCTATTGGATTTAGTGCTTACTTAACTGAGAGCTGTTAGAGGAGACCATTAAAATATCATATATTGTTGTGTATGTATATCATGTATCACCTAAACTTGAAATAAGATATAATATTTTATTGTAAGTATTAATCTACTTAATTTTTTTTTCTAAATGGTTTCGCACGGCTTGTGCATTTAGCCAATGTCAAGTGTTAAATGTAGGTATACGAATACTATAGCACTCGTAGTCAAAGTAATAAGTCAAGTCAAAGTAAGTGGCAGTCAAGTCAATCCCCCTTTCCCTATGTTTCAGTAAACAGTGTGGGGATTTACTGGAACCTCCCCGTGGACTTCTTGAGGGAACGTCGAAAGCCACTTACCGCTATTTTGTTTCACTTGCTAACACTTGTGCATGTTCCCGAACGCTTAGTGGTTAATAATCAACCATTATTAGACACTAACATCCGCCACAACACGATTTTTAACAAGAAAAACAAAACTGCTAAAGTGACGCTTCCCGATCCCGCCAAAAAGTCATCTACTTACTTCATTTATAAATTGAAAGAATGTTTTTTTTTTATTTAAAATATTATATTCATAAATTCTAATAGTTTTAAAATAGAACGCAAAACAGTAATTAAAATTTTATAATAATAGCTGATTTTTAGGAGCACTAGGACAGAATACTATTTATTGATATATCGTGTGTTAAAATATCATTTCCAGTTCCAACTGTACCAAAAGCGAGATACATAGATACAAATCTCAGAACAAGATAGCATCTTAATGTGAACGATGTACCGCTTGCAGCAAACAAAAATAAACCAACGACGGACAGACAGAAATCCATTCTATATATAAAATCCCGTCTGTGATAACTCAAATGAGATTTAATACATGATTTACTTATGTTTCTATTAGGAAGGATTGTGCAGTGATTGTTTTATGCAAACCATTTCAAATGACTCAATCCCATTTGGTGTTGAGTGTGAATTGTGGCTGGATACCATTATAGCTAATGTAGCCGTTATGAATTGAAAATAAACTTTAATAGAATTTACTTTAAAAACTCTTTTGAATCGATAAATTGGTTTCAATTGTCAAAAGTCTGGAATCCTGTGGTTTATCTTGTGGTTGATATGTGTAAAAACCGGAATAAAAAAAAGAGTGTCGTGTCGCGATCCAATATTGTGAGTGTTGTGTGTCGAGAACAATTTCAATTGAATAGTGAGAATGTGAGCAGTGGTACGAGTATCGAACGCAATAAAAAGACTTCGTTGGAGGGTAGACCGATATGTCTATGCTAATAACAGCCTACCCGCAATGACTTCAGTTACTCCGTGATTATGGCGCTTGCAACAGTGCCTAAATGTCGGAAACTCGCTAAAAATAAGGAG